AAGCAAGATGTCTTTTATTGGTAAGCTTTCGTATGTTTGGTTTGCAAACAATTCCACCTCCTCGATGAAAAGAGCATCAGCCTCAGGTAAAGTTGATTTTATTGGTGAGCGAGAGAGAAGATCTGGAATGTACATATTTTTCCCTGGAATGTACTCCATTGTGTAAGAAAATCTCATCATTCTCATCCGAAATCTCTGAATTCTTGGAGTCAATTCGGATATTGGTTTTGTACCAAGCAGCTGTACCAAAGGACGGTGATCCGTGCGTAATGTAAAGTGGTGCCCTACTAGAAATTGGGAAAATTTTTCGCATGCCCAAGTCAGCGCCAGGGCTTCACGCTCAATTTGGGCGTATCTGATTTCTGTGTCCGATAATGTACGAGAGGCATAAGATATGGGTCTCCAAGTGCCTTCGAGCTGCAATTGTTCAATGTTTGCACCGGCTCCATAAGAGCTGGAGTCAGCTGTGACTCTGGTTGGTCGACCGGGTGCAAAATGGGCAAGGATGGGCGTAGATGTGAGGGCTACCTTGATTTTATCAAGTGCCTTTTCGTGTATTTCGTTCCAGCAAAATTCTACTTTCTTGCTCAACAATTCATGTATTGGTTTTGCAATGCTGGCCAGGCTTGGTACAAATCTGGTGTGAACCTGGATGCATCCTAATAGCCTTCGTACGCCACTAATGTCGGTTGGTGCTGGCATTTGTAGAATAGCTTGGATTTTTTCTGGATCAGTTTCTACCCCTTTCCTTGAGACTATGTGTCCTAAAAATGTTACACTTTCGGCTCCGAAAATGCATTTTTCTTTGTTTAGTTTTAAGTTCCTTTTTTGGAATCTCTGTAAAACTTTTTGTAATCTGTCATCATGCTCTTTTTTGTTCTTCCCAAACACCAAAGTGTCGTCAGCGACATTGATGATGCCCTCTAATCCTTGCAAAGTTTCCATCATTTCTCTCTGGAACCGTTCTGTAGCTGAAGTTATTCCCATAGGCAACCTTTTGAAGGCAAATCTTCCAAATGGGGTCATGAACGTGGTCAGTAGCTTCGATTCGTTATCCAGAGGTATGTGGTAAAATCCGGAGGTGGCATCCAATTTGCTAAAGAAATTTGCCTCGGGATCTATCTGAGCCCGTAATTCCACAACGCTAGGCAATTCAAGACGTTCAGTTTTCACACTTTTATTTAGTTGTGTATAGTCGACACATATTCTTACACGTCCCCCAGGTTTTGGCACAGCCACCATGGGTGCACACCATGCAGTTGGTACTGTTACCTTGAATATTATGTCTTGCTGCTCGAGTACATTTAAGTTCTCCGAAACTTTCTCTCTCAAGTGTAGAGGTACCCGGCGAGGAGTAGAAATAGAAAAGGGTTCTGCATCACTTTTTAGTGTTATATGGTAGTTTTTGCCTAAATTTCCAATGCCTTGAAAAAGTTCTGGATACTGACTTGCAACTGTGACGGAATTTACCCAGGAAAGCATTCCCAAAGCTTCGCAAGCATTTCTACCTAGTAAATTTTCTCGAAGATTCTTGACAATATAAATTTTTGAGACATGAACAGAATCTTTCCATTTTAAATTACAATCTACAGTTCCTACTATGTTCAATGGATCTCCGAAAGCTGAGAGTAGAGGCTTTTCTACTTTGTTTAAATTTATAGGCTTAAGTTTTGTCAGTATGTCTGATTTTACTACAGTGACATCAGCTCCTGTGTCAATTTTAAATCTGACTTGTACGCCACTGACGTCAACATTTACTTTCCAGGGCTCAGAATAATTATCATTAATTTCCCCTAAGAAATAAAAATCATCCTCACTGACTCTCTCTTCCGAAGTTATTTCGCTTACCTGTGTGCGATCCTGGGCTTTGGTGCTAGGTAAAGACAAACATTTTATGGCCCAGTGTCCTATATTGCCACATTTCCTGCAGCTGTCATTTTTTGCTGGGCAGTTTGAGAAAGGATGTTTTGGTGTAATTCCACATTTCCTGCAATCCTTGCTAGGATGAGAAGCATCCGTTCTATCTCGCCCCGAATACTGACTAGCTGAGCTGTTTGTGTATGTGTTTACGTGTTTGTTACCTTGATATTTGCTGGCTTTTTCCCTGTGTGTGTCAGCACGAAGATAGTTCACTTCTAATGTGTTTGTCGATGCAAAGTCAGAAGTGCCTGGGATGTTGGCTGCTCTAACAACATCTTGTTGTTTTTGTAAAGATTCTGCCAATCGCACTTTCCGAATAACTTCAGCTGTGGAATCGTCGGGGTGCGACTGTAGTTGCATCGATACTCTACTGTTTGCCAAACCAGCAATTAGGCGAAGTTTAATCATTTCTGTCTCTAATGCCCCCCACTCGCATGTTTGAGCTAGAGTTGTGAGGTCATTGATAAAATTGTCGCAAGGTTCGTTCTGTTCCTGACATCTTTGCAAAAATTTAACTCGTTCATAAACTAAATTTTTCTTTTGTGTGAAATATTCGTCAAATTTATTCAACACTACGTCATAATTTTTCAATTCTGTGTCTGACAGATGGAAAGATTTCAAAATACACTCTGATTTTGGCCCTAAATAAGCCACCAGGTAATCCACCTGTTGTTCAGACGTGTAACTATCAAGTGCAGTGCGCTTGTAGCGCGAAAATCTTGTTTTCCAGTCGGACCAGTGCTCTGCCTGGTATGAAAATTCTCCAGGAGGTGGCACGACTGGCTGTATTGCAGTTATTTGTGTAACCGGCGGAGGAACTGCCGCTGCTGCTGCTGCTGCATTCTGTTGCGCAATGGCATTTTGGGCGTTGGCGTTTATTTGGGCCGTTTGCAGTTTGATCAATTTATCAATCAGAGCATTCTGCTGCTGAATGTGTTGTGTCAATTCTTCTGCACTGGCCATGGTTTATCCGTGCCGAATGGCTACTTGAATCGAACGATTTCCACGCGAAGCTGCGCACAAAAAATGTCACCGAGTTCCACTTCGGCACTACCTTTTCCCGACGCGATGCCTGGGCCCCGAACCCGATTTTCACTAATTTCTTCCGCCCGGCGATAAATTTTGCTAGTTAACAATGGCCTAAACGCGACCGATTGACCTATTGTTCCGAATTTGTGGGTAAAACTCACGCTGTCACCATGTTGTATGCGAGTAATCGACCGCGAGACGTTTACCTGTGGTTTGCTTGGCGTCCCCAGCGTAACTCAATTGTTCCAATCCCGTTGGTCAGTCACCGGTTCCTTGTCGCTTGTCACTGTCGCGCGAGTCGCGGCGTTAAGGTCGGTATGGACGTAGCGTCGCGGTTACGCTTATGCCACACGACATTAGCTTCAAAATAACCTAAATTGTCATCTATAAAGTTTAATCCCTTTTAATTGTAAACTTTGGCTAAATGTCCCTTTCTTTTACACTTTGAACAAACATAATTAGAATAAATACACTGACCTGTATGCCTGTTTCCGCAGATGCGACACAATAATTGTCCATCATTTTTATTACCATGTCCGCCATTCTGCACCCCACCAGCATTGGAAAATCCGCTTCTTCCTTGGCCTTGTCGGTGCCGTTGGTCGCGCAGATTATTGCGCCTGCCTTGTCCATCAGCGCCAGCGTAGCCAATCGCTTTCGCTCGCCCAAATCCCATTGGTTTGGAATGACCTTGCATAGTTTTGCGCGCAAAATTGACATCTTCGCCCTTGGTTGCCAAATTTTCTTTTCTTTTCGCCAACTCCAGGACCTTGCTTAAAGTTAAATTTTCGTCCTCCTAGCAGATGCGGTCAAAAGTACTTTCCGCTTTGAGCCCCGTAATGAACTTTTCCCTAAGAAATAATTCCAAATTAGCGCCAAACTTACATTCCACGGCCATCTTGCAGATCCGCGCATGCCATTCTGCTACTGTCTCATGTGTCCCTTGGGAGGCTTCCTGAAACTTTTTTCTTTCTCGCCAAATAACTGGTTGTTTGGTAAAATGGCTTTTCATGACTTCATCCAGCTGTTTGAATGTCTTCTTGTTTGGTGCTATAGCTATAGGGTTGCAGAGGTCTCTTAACAGTGAAGTGTTTCGAGTGGTTCAATGATTAGCCGCGTTACTTTTGTTTAACTATATTTATTGTTACATTAAGAACTTAGTTAATAGTAAAATTAGTTTCATTAGAGCTGAGTTTCGCGAGCGGGAGCTTTTCAGTGGTAGGTGGTATTTCGACTCTTTCGTGTACGCATAGCGTGTAGGGGCCCAAAACCGACTGTCATTCCTTGGTGGTGTTGCTTCCCACGTAATCTTTTTGTCTGCAGTGTTGCGCTGTTGTGCGCAACTTCCTAGATATGTCACAAACAGGATATAGGTTTTCGTGCCTAAGCTGAGGAGGGTTGCTACTTTCATTTCTTCTTCGAGACTATTTGCTGTGAAATATTCCTGTAGTCGCTCACAGTAAGTATACCACCCAGTCATCGATATCTGGATTAAATTCAGCAAAATGCCCCACCGGATTGGTCGCCATGTTGGTACACTTTTTTTTTTACTTCCGTTCCCGATCACGTTTTCACGACTTTATAAAAATTATCCTCGTCGCCAATTTGTTGTGTTCGAGTGGTTAATGAAACACTCCCGCTAATTATAACATTTATTTATACTGTATGAAAGTACTTGGTCAATATAAAATAGTATTTTAGCTTCAGAGTCGTGACATAACAAGTAAAGAAACAGAGCGTTGCGGTGGCTAGGGCAATCAGGTACAGACTGACTTGACGTAGGTTTTCCTTCGTTTTCGTCTCCGCTGGGCATCGGTTTCACAGTATCTCTAATAGTTTCCGATATCTCAATGGTCACCTTCGAATTTGGGACACCCCGTACAACAGTATAGGGCCGGTTTAAACCAGGGTAAACATTGCAAATGGACACGATTACCCTGAAGTTAAAACCAACCCGGAAGTGACTCGCCATTGAGAAATTGGCCCTAATAGGGTTAAATGAAAAACTATTATTTTTTGTTTATAAAATCATTATTTCAGTGTTCGATTTTTTCAGCACTTTATTGTAAAGTATTTATACAAATCCTGAGTAAAATAAGTTAGGTACTTACTTTGCTTATGATTTCAAATTATAATTATACTGCTAAGTCACAGTTGAGTGTTTCAAATAATTAACTACATATTAATTATTTATGATATTTTTCCTTTGTTCTAAAATTTTAATGTACTTTACCTTCATACCTAATTATTATAAAAAATTCGAAATATCTATTATAATACCTAAATTTTATAGGCCCACATTATACATGACCTGTAAGTCTATAGTCTGACCTATTTTGAAGTTACTAATTTTACCTAAAACTTCACAAACGTTGACCTATAGTTAAAAGTTCACAGCTTCAAACACCTTATAATCTAAACTTATACCTAAAAAATTTTTGGTAAAGAAAACTATAGCGACTATTTACAGAAAAAGAAAATAAATAAATATAATACATAACACTAACATAATATCTAATTTCACAAATTAGGTGTAAAAAAAAACAAAAAATAAAAAAATATATATACAAAAGGGACAATAAATAAAAATAGTCTATATGCACTGGGATAAATCCTATACAAAATATTTAAAAAATAAACAAAAATAAACAAAAAACAGTTTTTTTCCGAAATAGGATTTCGACGTGCCGCTAGTGTAATCCCTTTTCGCTTTATAGCTGCATTGAATGTTTTCTTTATCCTCGTATTGTTGAAAGGACGGAAGCCTTTCAATATTTTCTTTCTGCAATATATATATTATTGATAAAACTTCTCGAAAGCGACAAAATAACTCACAATAGCCAAGGTATCGTCTCTTTTCCTACAAAACGTCATATGCAATCCGTTATAGAAATATTCTTCCATTTTTTTCGTTAGAATTGTTTCGTTGTATGGAATGTTTTGCAAATGCGACATGAATGACTTGTTTCTGAATTCTTGAGGCTCTAAATTATTATTATTAATAAAATAACTATATTTATTAATTTGTTTAAGTAGTTAGTTACCTTTAATAATAAGCTTTTCAAAAACACTATTCTCAATAGTTTCCCCTTCAATGGTATACTCTTTAGCACTTCTAAGGGCCATTATAGCTTTCAAATTAGCCTCAGGCGACATTTCATCTCCTGGCTGAATTATAAATGGCTTTTGAGTACTTGAAGGTACATTATCAGATTCAATTCTAGAATTATTAAAAAAATATATTATACATATATATGTAATGTCAAAACTTACTTTCCCTCAAGTAAAGCCCTTTCAACTTCACTCATATTCCTCCCATAAAACTCTTTAACGCCTAAATTTTCAAAAAAATACTTCACAGGTGGTATAGAGTAACAACCAGCCAAATCAGTTCTGGGATAGTACATTACAAACGACAAACACATTTCTTCTCTTGTTGAGTAACCACCTAGAGTGGGTCTGTTGCGTTCTACAGTTGAATAAGTGCATTCAGTAATTAAACCATCTCCTGGAAGAATTGTAGTGTCTTGAGATAAGGAGCGGGATTGTTGGTAGTTGAAATCATAATGATCGTCCTGGAAAAGATTTTGTTTAGAGCTAAGAAATGTTTCAATGAAAACCAAATACCTGTGCCAGCGGCTGTAGCTCTCTTCCACTTCTGATGTGACGTAGTTTTAGTTTTCTTCCAGCCAAATGAGAGTGTAACATTACCGAAATCACGTTGATACCGTCTTTAGGAAAAACTTCTTTCGTACATCCAAGACTACAATATCCAGCAGTTTTGTACTCTTTTTGATAAGGTGGTATAAAATGCAAAGTTGATGGAGCAACGCCGGTAATAAGAATTCCGCCTTCGTTATCTCTCAGTTTATTTGTGTAATGCAACCTGGCAATTGAAATTGCAATTTGAAAATGGAAAATTTTCTTGCAGACTATATATTACCTTAATCCTGACGTGTCGACTGCGGATCTCATTTGCGGATTGTCAAAATGCACCTCTAACATGTAATAAGAATTTTTCTTGCGTGCCAAAGGTAAACCTACGTGATTTGGAAAGTTTTCACCTGAAAACGAGATTAATAAAACTTAGTTGTTAATTACTGAAAAATTACCTTTAGATCCAATCGCCCAAGCAATCAAAGGAGTAAGACACTTTTCCCATTCCAAAGGCATGTTGCTGTAGCACAATCTACCTTCGTCTTTGGCAAACATGTCCCATTTGGCCATATTAGAGTTATCGTCCAATTCGCACTCGTGCATTATCATGTGATGGAGCATTGCTTCGTGGTTTTTACCTATGATCGGTTCGAATCCGGTGATGTGGCGTTTTTCGTTGAACGTTGGAGCTTTGAACACTTTGCACCAGTAGACTGTGTCCATGTTGTTAGGGATTTGGAACTGAGAATATCGAGAATCATCAGTAACTTTTAAAAATTTCGATGAGAAAAAAAATTGAAACAGAAATCTCATTGTTGAAATCTTGACGCGGACATTAATAATTGCTTATTTCTTCAGAAAATTGCCTACAATTATACATCATTGGAGAGAGCATTAGATTCTCTATAAATCATGAAAAATTGGTTTTTGTAGCTTGAAAAGTTCCTAAGATATTGAGCTTCAAAGTTAAAATTTAGTCGACATGTTGTCCAAAACTTCGAACTTGATGTTCTTAAAAACCGTTAACGTTGCCGATTTGAACTAGATGCCATTTTGAAACTTTTATTGTAAAATTCCTGAAAATTTTGTCTCAGCACCGCTTTCTGGTTACGAAGATATGACAGTTGAAAGATTTTCAGAGAAAAATCCAAAGGCGGTCCTACATTCAATTTCAGCACAGGCAAGAAATAGATATGTTTAAGAAAAGCACATCTGCTACAACTGTTTCAGCCATGATATCAATAAGAGATGTTTCAGCCCTACAAAATGTAGCATCTGCAGTCGTTAGCACAACACGCTTCTTCATATGGACGGACAGCAACAAAATTCTAACAGGCAGTCCAACTACTAATACAGTTACTCCACCGCTAAATTCCCAACGACACCCACCATCAAGAATATTGTAGATTGAAATCAAGTTCTTTCATTACACCCTTGTATATGGGAAAAAATAATACACCTGTTATGTCATGTGGATTTGTAAAGGTCACGAGATAGTTTTTAGGGGCTTGCTATACTTTTGTTCAGGAAATGTAAATAAAAAGTTAACGTAAAAGTTTAGATCTGTTGTTTGATTGTAATCAGAAAGCTGCGTGGAGTTGATTAAACTAAGAAAGAAGAGCTGAAAATTATCCATCGAGGCGCTATGTCTAACTACGCCAGTAGAAATGGAGAAAACGTTTTACTCACTACAGCACTAGTAGAAGTGAGCACATCCCCCTCAAGTTCTGAGAATTCTTATTAAACAAGAGACACAGATATCCATTATTACCGAAGAAGCTGCAAATCGACTGAAAATGCCACGACACAACACAAGAGCACAAATCTCAGGAATTAGTGGAGGCGAACCAAAAGAAAATATAAACCCCAATCAGTGGCCTCTGGAAAGAATCGAAAAAACTCATCGGGGACAAGATGGAGAATCTTTATTTCCTGTCTTAGGTACCTACTCGCATTTGCTTGGTTTGAGTGTTAGGTTAGCTTGACGTAATCGTTCTAAGACCTTCCTTAGTTTGGCTATGTGTTCCTCTGGTGTTTTTGAAAAGATTCTAATGTCGTTCAGGTATATAGGTACTTCCTTCCATTTCATGTCCCAAAATACTTGGTCTGCAAGGTGGCTGGAGCATTGCATAGACCAAAACTGAGAACGTTGAATTCATGTACCATGTCCCTGTGCGGTGAATGCTGTGTATTGTTTTGATCCTTCTTCTACAGGTACCTGCCAGTATCCCGAGAACATGTCCTAAGTATGACAAAATATCCTCTATTTGTGGTAGTGGGTATGTTGATTTTTTCGTCACGGCATTTATTTTTCGGTAGTCTACACAAAATCTCGTTTTTCCGTCCTTTTTCTTTACTAGAACCACCGGACTAGCCCATGGGGAGTGACAAGGTCTGATTACTTGGCTATCCAGCATCTCCTTGATTTTTTCATCGATTATTTGTCTTTCCTTGTGACACACTCTGTATGGACGACTTTTTATTGGTTGCGCTTCTCCTACTTCTATTTTATGTGCCGTTAGGTTTGTTCTTCCCATGTGTTTAGTTGATTTGGCGAAAACGTCGTTATATTCCAGCAGGAGATCCTGGAATGTCTGTTTGGCTTTTTTGTCTCTAATGTTCTCTAGTTTGTGGTTTTCTACTGTTATTTCCTCGGTTTCATCTAATATTTCCTCTTGCGTTTCTAGGTGGTACAACGGGCTTTCGTTTTCCAATTCCTCCAAAAATCCTATGGTGGTTCCTGCGTATATGCTGGATTCTTTGTTTTTGACTGTATTTTCAGGACAAGGGAGTCTCCATCTATGTAGATATGTGTTTTTAGTACTAGCTGCTTTTTTGCGAGCCAGTCTAATTTGTATTTGCATTGGTAGCCTATTGTTTCTTTCATGTCATTCATTTTGCCCATGATTTCTAATTCGAGTGTTTCTGTTTGGTTCTCGGCTATACTGTAATCTACTGTCTTGGTTTCTATTTTAAGCGTTTTTCTTCGGATGTTGGTGATTGTCTGCATTAGCTGACCAATTTCCTCTTCGGAATATTTTTCGGTCTTTTGTTGTTTTCCTGCTTGTTTTTATATGCGGATTTCGATTCCTGAGTCTTCAAACATGATATAGCATTTGTTCAAATCTTCCCCATTCTTTTGCCAATCCCCATCCTTGTCTTGGGATGACCAATGTAGTGTGGGATCTAGATTTGCTAGTATTTTTCAGTGCTATCAGGCATTCTGTACATGTTTCTTGGGGTAGGCTTTTTTTTCATTGTTTCTCTCGTATGAATAGAAAAATTGTCGATTTTTTCCCGTAGTTTATTTCTTTCAATTGTGCAATGGTTCCTGGTTCCTGTTTCTTCGGGAGACTGCGCCTGTATTTTCTGTATACCTATGCACCTCTTTGCTTTGTTATTTAGTTCTGAGTTACTCCGAATACCAAAATTGCGTCATTTGGTAGGTCATTTATGTCTCGATGTTCTTTCCTTAGGAATCTGCTTGTATCTGTCTTTCTTATGTGTATGTGTTCTTTGATAAACTTGTTGAATTCTTCTTCATCTTTTTGAGAGCAGCTAGGTTCCGTGCTTGAGTTTTTTGCGGTAATGAGACTTGACAAGCTAATGTTCTGCTTATAGTGACAGGTCTAGGATGGCTCTATTCTCTGTCAAAAATTCCATTCCCAGGATTATCGGTTGCCCTGACACTGAGATGATTTTGCATTGAGTATACCTTTTTGAATGTAATACCACAAGAGGTTTCAGGATTCCCGGATAATACTTTTACCTGTCACGAAACGCGTTACGCAGCATCGACTCCGAAGGAGGAGTGGTGTTGCTGGTAACGTGTTGAGTTTCAGGTAAAACTATTAGGTAATCCTGAAACATCGAGTGGTATTCAAAAGGTTATACAAACAACCAAACTTCAATACTTTAAAATTTAAAAAAAAATGTATAATAGAATTTGCTATAAATGCCACCAAGCGCGATAATTCCAAAAGGCTTATCACTTGTTAAGCCTCTCGCGTCATATTGGAATAATGTACAGTGAATTGTATAACCACTTTAAGTTTCCTGTAATTTCCATTGTTGTTGTCATTTTTCCCAAAACTAAGGTATCGATTTTTGCCATCCTTTTCCGTTTGGGTTCTGCTTTTGGCTCCTGCAGGTGGCTGCAAAGTGTCCCTGTTTTCCACAATTGTAACATACCGAATTATTGCCATAATTTCGGAGACTATAGGCCCGATTTATCTGTGGTTGTTTTCAAGCGTGTCCTATTTTTCCACAATTATCACATTTTTCGCTGTTTCTGTATTGCGTTGATTTATTTGGCTGTGGTCTGCTTTTGCATATGGCCGCCATGTGCCTATTTTTTCTATAATAATAACACACCACCTGGTTTCTGTTATTTTGGAGTTCCTGACTGCCTGCTCTTGGAGGTTTATACCTCTGTCTCTGGAAGTCCTTTTTCTCTATTTCTCTTACTTCACTTTTTGGTACTTTATCTATGGTCCTAGCCATTTCTTTCACTTTTTCTAGCGTGTTTGGTGGACCATTTGGCGGGTTCGTGGGCCAGTATAGTGACAAAAGTTTTCTTCAGTCAACCCTTTGCTTAAAATGGTAACAAATTCTTCTATATCTATGTTATTCCTGTAGTCATGATACAGTACTCTCAATTTGTACAGGTAATCCTGGACTGTCTCTTTTGGGTCCTGTTTGCGCTCCTCTACTTTTCTTTTTAGGACCGTCCGCCAGGTAGTTGGCGTCTTGAAATTCTTTTGAGAAATCCCTTACAATATCTTCCCATTCGTTGTTTGGATTGTCTCGTTTATAGTCTTGGAACCATATGTTGGCAGCGACATCTAGGAATGTTTCTAAGTACGTTATCTTCAATATATCATTCCATCCGTTCTCTCGTAACTCCTTAGAAATTCAGCGGCACTTGAATTGGGGTACTGATGCCTTTTTTCCTGCTGCCATTGCATCTCGAATGGTAATATTTTCCATGACTGTTTAAATGTTTTGATCTCATTCTTCTTCCTCTGCTGTTTCTTCGTCTGGTGTTTCTTTTGGGGCAACCTGGTTTGCTTCTACCACAGTTTCTACTAGATTATCTCCAGTAGTATTGTCTCCGTGTTCTTCCCTTATATATTTTAAGTAGTCACTTATTCCTGATCCTAAAATCTCAGAAATTAGTGACGGCGAACCAAAAGAAAATATAAACCCCAACCAGTGGCTTCTGGAGAGAATAGTAGAAACTCATCAGGGACGAGATGGAGCAGTCCGCGTGGTGACAATAAAGAGAACAGGTGATTCACCATAAGAAAGACCGATTCACAAGTTAATACCTCTAGCGACAGAAGATCCACACCCTTTACCAACCATCCAAAATCAGTCAGAAGATCACATCGTCTCCGAAACATAGCACTAACATCAACAAAATCATATTTATTGTTCTTCCTAGCAGCCATAATGATGATAATCACAACTATCCGCAATATGGATTCTACATCAAACACCTTACATCAGCAAGAATTATAGAGGTATTTTCAAAATAGAAACAAGAGACAACATCTCCCAAGAACAAAACCGAAACCGACTTATTAGGGGTGTCCACCGTAGTCAGTCAGTTCAGAAATATGTAGGTATGTGCAATCAATCCAAGAAGCTTACCGATGACGTCAAATGCATTTAGAAGAAATGAAAAATCACTCTAAATGGATATTCACGACTATGAAATATTCACGATAGAACCAAAGGGAGGACTTTTGGAAAATTTTTGACTGCGGTTTTTGGAGTGAACGACAATCAGGAAAAACATCCAACTACCAAACAAAATTTATGATTTCGACCCTCACAAAATTCAACGATACCGGAGCCAGAATCACGAACAAACTACAAAATTTCCAGAAACAACTCAACGAAGGAATAGAAGCTATCAATGGCATGGCAAAATTGATACAAACAAATCGACACCAATGTATATACACTCTACATTCACTTATTGAGTGTATACCAAGTAACACCAACTTCATCAGCGAAACCAACGAGCATCACAATAAATTGCTGAACATTGACTTCAACAGAGGTACAATATAATATGACCAAGTTTCACCAGCACAGCATATATCAACGCCGTCATTCAAAAATCCAATCGAAAACTGCCAAACAACCTAGAATTCGTTTTGGCAGCATCATCCACAAAATTAATTACCAACAACATGTGCATCAAGGTGTGTGGATATTTTCCAATTATTGACGTGACGGATTTCACCCTAGTAAAAGCAACGCCCAGTCCACTGAGATTTGAGAATGAAACATACTGGACTTTAGACCTTTCCAATGATTACACCGCTATCGACTTCAACAATTAAATTTACTTTCAGCTCCATGAAAGCGACCTCCAACAGCTCATTTGTTCTCTAGTTTCCATAAGAAATATTGAATCTAATTGTATGATAATGGTATGAACGGCCACAATCCAGGCATTGCCACATAGAACAATACAGACTACAGCGAACTATTCACAACGAATACATGGATGTTCATCGCAGGTTCCTCTACAGTAGTATCGGTTATATGCAACGGAGAGCGGGAAGATGTAGCAATAAATACAACAGGAATAATTTAGATTTCCCAAGACTGCAGCATCCATACAAAACAGAATATTCTACCTCCCAAAAGAAGCATAATAGTTCTAGTTTTAGGCAGCTATGTGAAATCAATGGTACCTTCCACAAACACACATCTTCACATCTAGCCACGGAGCCTCTATGTTTAGAGAAACCGATGGTTTTGGAAAACTAGTAAGAGAAAAGGAGGTCCTTGAAGATAAACTTCATAATACAGTGTGACGCAACATTCATCACTACTTCGCAGCTATCAGCAGCATTACAACAATAATCATCATCATAATGGCGATAGCAGGATGGCAGACAACCAAATTAATCAGCAAAAAACGTCGAAAGAAACAACCAGATTAACACCAAGACCAAAACGAAGAAATAGAGCTGATGTCTCTACATTCTTCCATTCTGAAGAGGCGGCAGAATGTTTAATTAGAACAATTAAACGATATAATTGTCCCGCTGCTCAACCAAGCCAGATTGAGCAAGTGTATAATTTGCAAGCACAGCCTGAACACAACTGAATATCATTTCTAAGCTATTATTGAGATCTACAATTCCAGGTCTATAAACCTAGCAGTCCCAAGGTGGAAAAAAACTTCGGGAACTATATAATAATTAGGTGCTTTTTAGGTGCTAATTAGGGCCTCTTATTAAAAATTAGGTGCTTCCTTAGTTTTTGAGAAAATCAAAAAACAACTTATAGACTGTTAATATTAGTTTTTTTTTGATTTCCTCAAAAACTAGAGGAGCATCTAATTTTTAATTAGAGGCCCTACTTAGAATCTAAAAAGCACCTAATTATTATATAGATCCCGAAGTTTTTTTGCCATTCTGACACACCAACAAGTAAATGTGAAGGCAGCAGTCCCCTTATAATTTAAAAAAAAAATCTGTAACTCAGTTAATAATTAATTAATTCTATTTTTTCTTCGACTATTTAGGAGCACCTAGAAAGCACCTAATTTTGATACAAAGAAAAAAATTTGAAAAAATATTTTTTACTGTAGGGGACTGCTAGCTTTTATAAACCTAGCAGTCCTTTAGTTTTTTTTTTGATTTCCTTAAAAACTAAAGGAGCACCTAATTTTTAACTAGAGGCCCTAATTAGCACCTAAAAAGCACCTAATTATTATATATGGTTTATTTTTTTCCAAGATAGATTTTGACATTGTCAACTTTGAAACATAAACAATGCCGCTAATGCCGCTTATTGGGCGCTATTGTAAAACTGTCAACCTGCAAAAACACCTCATTTTGCGACCAATCAGGGTCAAACGTTATTGTTTATGTTTCAAAGTTTTCAATGTCAAAATCTATCTTGGGAAAAAATAAAGTGTAGTTTCCGAAGTTTTTTTCCATCTTAGGACTGCTAGGTTTATAGACCTTACAATTCCTCACACATAATCCTTACATTGCATATTCTAGTAGTTTCTGGATTACAAACTTCCCATTAAAGGTTTCGCGCTACACTGGCCAATTTAAAATTCTAATCTCGCTTCGCCAGCCAACATAATCGGCTTAAAAATATAAATCGTTACCTAAACACATTTTTGTCTTTTCAGAAATCCATCCCATTGGCTATACGAGAAGAATATTAAACAGCTTAATTGAAATTCTATATGCGCCCGTTGCTGTTTTCAGCACAAAACTGATTGATTGGTACTTACATTTTTCAACTCGACATCCCAATTTCTGGTAAAATCGCCGCTGATTTCCATAACCGGAGGCGGTCCCAGCAAATGCAAACTTTGCACACCGCGTTTTTCGGCATGATAAACCATTTCGCCTTCGAATTTTGGATCATGGTCATGCATTGCCCATATTACTCTTACAGTGTCGCCCTGATGGAAACAAATCTATAAGAATCAATATATGATTAAGAGAAAAATTCTTACCGTTAAAATGTAATCATCTGGATCGCACGTATCCAGAACTCGTCTGAATTCGATAATTGTGTGAGTTGCATTTTGTTCGCCTCGCATTAGGGTGTAATTGTCGATTGTGTCACGTACTGGGGCGCTTCCTTGACTTTTCGATACACCGTGACAATCCTGGAAAAAATGAAGATCTTATTCGAACAAAAATCAATTAATGACACTATCCATCAATTTATTAATGGACCATTTAATTCGCCTGAAAGGGAGTAAAAGCTTATAGAAAAATGCCTTTCTGGTTGATTACCTTTTTGTTTTAGGGAACTTTTTTCTAACATACGCTTGACCTGTTAGGTCAATCAAATCAAATTTGATTCTTCGAGCTTGAACTTGTTAGTAGGTATCTAATTGAAACTCGTCTCGTTTAGTCGTTTTTACTATCTCTAGATTGCTATATTAGAAAAGTAATTATACCGGTCCGAGTAATTAACTATATAAACTGAAAGCATAATTATTAACAAGTTAGCATTTTATATTTGCTATACAAGAATATCGCTGCTTCTGTTTAAATTTCAATGAGTGAAATCAGCATTGATGAATAAATAAAATTCTTTGCTCCATACACACATAATATTCCCCCTTTGGAACAAAACATAATAGTACGTAATATTGTTAAGAAAGAACCCCTAGGGCAAGTTATACATAGGGCAGCTGGCAATATCACCTGCCCCTTTTTACATGCGCTCGTGCCACACATGTCAGTTACAGGATGTATTTTAAACCTAAACTAAAAATAAAATTTTATGGTGACTCAATTTGGAACTTCCAACAAATAGACGACGCGATGACGAACTTCCGCGTCTATAAAATAAATTGAGGAATCAAAAGATTCGAATAACTAGGAAATCGAAAAGTAATAAGTTTGATTTTGCCCACTCAGACAGTGAGGGAAATCAAATAACCTCTTTTTTGCTAGCTTGGAGTTTATTCTTTCTTTAAATTACATACTTATTGTTCGTCGATTTTTAACTGACACTTTCCGTATGAGGAGCGAGGGGGTGAAGTATATGGCAAAAATAGGTGTGACGTCCAGGGATGCTATCAGCACTATAAAAATTGTACCAGAAAGTAGGGAATAATTGTACTAGATTGGCGACATTGTGTACTAGCTGAAAGCGCATCAAATTTGAAATTTGAATACAAATGTAAGCTCTGCTAAATGGGGGTAAATATCATTTCTTTTAGGGTCGGTTTTTCATAGAGGTGGGCCCACCTGCGATTTTACTGGAGCTGTGACAAGACGTTACTGTTCCAGTCGTATCACGGTGATAAATAGCAATGATTTTTTGGAACAGTTTCACCTTGATTGGCCATGCTGGTAATATATGTATATAAATGCTACATTATATAATCGCAGTCCACCCAGTTTGCAGTCACAGCCGAAAGAGGTGTTCCAGATTGCCCTCCTCTGCAGTAGCAGTTTCTGTTGGGCGTCACCGCAATGCGATTTACAATAATATTTCATTATTTGCATCACTTTGACATGAGTTTAGTCCTCGCCGCAGTGACAAAGTCACAGTTCGTGAAATCGCAACCCACCTCTAAAATTGAGTACTTGAAGTGCATCCTCCTACTTTATCTTCTTCTTTGTTTCACTCATTTATAAGCGCATTTGTTGTTTTTGCAAATGTATCCTACCTTATCTACTTCTTTGTCTTACTATTTTTACTAAAAATACAATCAAATTAACATTAAAAATGATTTTTTTTTTATTTGTTGGAAAATGAGGAAAAACATCCTATTTGAGATTGTAATTGTGGCAACGTTGTTTTCGATCAAGTAGGCCTTGTAATGTAATTTCATTTGCCACTTTTGACAGCCGAGTGTTTTTATCTAGCTTTTCCGTGAATTTTCCGGTTTTTCAATGAAAAAAACTTGTTTAAAGTACGAAACTTTGAGTTTCCTTCATTTTTTGACAAAAATTTCCAGTTTTCTAACGATGTTAGTGTCCAGAACCTTGGTTTGATCAAGTAGGCTTTAGAATGTTGGTTTTCCATTTAATTTTCCACTTTTCCAAGGCTTCTTCAATCGGAAAAAGACTGTTTTGGTGCAGGGCTTTAAATTTGCTACAATTTTTCACCATAAACTTCCATTTTTAGACTAAAATAATATCCTACTTTATCTCTCTCTTTGTCATACTCATTACCAAATTATTAGTTGGCTATTTTGAAGTGTCGTGTTTACATTTTTATCCAGGTTTTCCTCGAATTTTCCACTTTTTCAGGTTTTTTTCAGTCGAAAAAACTAGTTTAAAGTACGAGGCTTCGAGTTTTTTCCATTTTCTGCTAGAAATTTCCAGTTTTAGATCCATTTATTTACGGTCAAAAGGTAAGTGAAAAAAAATTATTAGAAAAAAAGTTTTTGAGGACTTATTTAAAAGGAATTTCTAATTTTAAAATCGTTAATAATTAATTATTTAACGGGTTTTTAATTATTAGATTACAAGTAGAATCCCATTTTAAATGATTTTTTTGGAAGTTTTGTGACGTGGCAACATCGTTAGTAGCCAACTTCAAGTAACCTTGTAATAAATGTCATTTGACATTTTTGACAGTCAGTCATTTTCAATTGACGAGTTTACATTTTTGTTCAGTTTTTCCTCAAATTTTCTGCTTTTCCAGGCCGTTTTTAATCGGGAAAATTCTTTTAAAGTTCGAGGCTTTGAGTTTTCTCTATTTTCCACCAAAAATTTCCACTTTTCCAATGGAGTAAGTGACCAAAACTTTGATTTTTCAAGTAGGCTTTGGAATGTTGGTTTTCCATTGAATTTTCTACTTTTCCAGGGATTTTTCAATTAGAAAAAGATGATTTTAAAGGCGGGGCTTTGAATTTGCTTCATTTTTCCACCAAAAACTTCGATATTTAGATTAAATTTTTTCCTACTTCATTTCCCTCTTTGTCTTTCTTACTATTACGCAGGCCTTGGAATATCATTTTTATTGCAATTTATTAAAAATAAGATTCCAATGCATTCTTTTCGGAATTTATCATTTCATAAACATTATTAATTAATTATTTAAACAAAAAACTTTAAAATGTAACTGAGATGTAGCAACGTCGCACAATGTCATTTCCCAGTTTTGACAGTCGGTCATATTTGAATGTTTTTATCCAGTTTTTCCTCGAATTTTCCGCTTTTTCAGGCCGTTTTCAATTGGAAAAACCTATTGAGAAGACGATGCTTTGAATTTCCTTCATTTTTTCTCAAAAATTTCCAGTTTTCCAATGGGGTAAGTGACAAAAACTCAAGTTTTATTAAGTAGACTCTGGATTGTAATTTTTACGGGATTTTCTTTGGATTTTCCGCTTTTCCAGTGCTTTTTTGATCGGAAAAACCGATTTTAAGTACGAGGCTTTGAATTTTCTTCATTTTCATCCATAAATTTCTAGTTTCAAATACTAAAATTAGGGCTAAATAAGGTTTTTCTGCCTCTTTCAAAAAAAGTGAGCACTTTAATTACATCCTGCTTTATCTCTTTCCTTGTCCTACTTAGAGGGTTTAAGAGCTACTTTGCACTTAAAAAACACTAAATTTAGCTGAAGAAACGAGGCTCTGAATCAAAAAAGAGGGCTCTCAAAACAAAAAACAGACAAACGCTATTGTCGCCATTTTGAATTAATTGTCAAAAATTACAAGACCTACTTTTACTTTGACATGTCAAATTTTTTGACGCTTGCGTCAGGGTTGCTGCAACTTTTGTGCCAGGGTTGCTACATTTTTTCGTCCCTGTAGGCAGATTTTTCAATATCGAGTCACCTCCGCATTGGTTTTAACTAGAAGTGGGCCAACCTGCGATTTTACTGGAACTGTGACAAGACGTGACTGCTCTAGTCGTGTTACGGTAACAAATAACAGTGACTTGACTGGCAGTGCTGGTAATACATGGTACATTACATAATCGCAGTTCGCTCAGTTCACAGTCACGGCCGAGAAGAATGTTCCAGTCTGCCCTCTGCAGTGGCAGTTTCTGTTTTGCGTCACCGCAATATGATTTATAATAATATTTCATTATTTGCATCACTTTAAGTTGAATTTAGTCCGCACTGTATCGGTTAGAGATCGAAGTGGCCGTGACAAAATGTCACTGCTACTTGAGTGGGACCGGAGCAGGCCGTGACTGAGAGAGACGAGTAGCAGTGACAAAGTCACAGTTCGTAAAATCGCAACTCACCTCTAGTTTCTCAAAAGCGAGTCACCTGCGGATTGGTTTTAACTCCAGGATAAACGTATCTAGTTGCAATGTTTACCTAGAGTTATCCTTAATCCTGGGGGTGACTCGCTATTTGGAAACCGGCCCTGAATAATGGAAATAAATAAATTTCTACATATTTTGTTATAAATCGACTATCGATTACCATGATCCGCTGAATAATCGAAAAACCACCGATTCATGACACACGTCAAGTCACAGAATAAAAAACTCCCCAAATTCTAAGATACTCGAGGATCAAGAGCACTAATTTGTTTTGTGAGAACAGACCGAAAATCACCTTTTCTACATTTAAAATCGACCAAAAAATTAACTTTAATTAACGAGGTCTGCGGATGACATCATTGCTAATTTCTGCTGACAGTGATGTCTTTCGCAGGCCCAGAATTTGATGGAAAGGGAGTTAGGGAAGTATGACAAAATTGACACTTCACATAACCCAGCATAATCAGATTATGCTTGAATATTCTCGTCAAAAATATCCTCATATTCGAAATGCCAGTTTCTTGTTTGGCTTTAACCGCACCGTAATGGGACCGAAACGTGAAACCCAACCCACAAGTAGAGAGTGGAGTGCAAAACTCGAGTACGGTATAGAGCGAAGAGCGACACTCGACTTGTATTCCAAATTGTACTAGATTTATGAGAGAGGTACTAGCGTACTAGGTGAAACGTGATTGTTCTAGATCTAGTACAATTGTACTAGAAATAGTATCCTTGGTGACGTCAGGTAACCATTGGCTTTCTAATGTAGGGAGCCACCAGCTCACATTCCGTCCGAATATCAGATTAAAATCGACTGACAATACGTACTTTTTTCTAAGGGTACCTACCCCCTTTGGATATTTGGGTATTTCAAAATATTTGAATCCTAATATCCTGGCATTCGTATGAGAAATAAAGACAAAATTTACAGAAATACTAGGTGTTTTTATTTACAAAAAAGCTTACATTACTTATTTTATAATTCCTTATGCTATTATTATATACATAATTCTCCTTTTCAATGTTAAAATGTTAAATATAAGCGTACGTCACTGTAAAAGCCCACAATTAGGCAATTTAATCCATCTGTCAAAAAGGAAAATTCAATATGGCGTGGCGGCCAAGCAAGCTTGTTTTAAATATGTTTTTATGTGTATTTTAAATTATTTTGCTTAGAGTTTTGCTTGTAACTTTGATTTTGATTATTTAATACGATATTTGTTGACTAGGTACTTAAACTATTAAATCGGGCAAAAACTAGATATTTTTTTGTGTTTTTTGGCCCATGTGTGGCCGCCAGGCCATCTTGAGTGTCACGTGGTTTGAATTGCCTAATATTATAATTATAAAGATGCTGAATAAGCGGTACTTCCTGGAAAAATACTGTCATATCAAGGTTTCACTCACACAGTTGCACTATCAGCAGTCTTTTAATATAAATACGGCGCGCAGAGCTTTTCAGCCGATGCATTTGTATGTAGCTTAGACTATAGCAATTACGAATCAAAATTCTTTTGTTATCGGCTTTTCGCTGCAGCAATTATAGAGTCTAGTAATATTTTTTGTAACTTCTTAGTTATCAATAAAATAAAAAGTTTTTAAAAACAAGATTTACTGATCGAAAAATATAATTCATTGTTTAGTTTTCCTATGTTTATTGTTATTGAAAAAACTGAGTTTAAAGTTTGTGACAAAATTCCGACTAAAGTTCAATTTTGGAGCTTGATAGCTTGGGAAGCCCATGAGCTATCGGAATCAATTTAGCCTAGTTTAAAAGAGAATTTATTTCTCTTTCGAATGATATATAATTTAAGCCAATTTGCTCAAGAATGATTCACGATATGAGCAACTGTCAATAACTGTGTCAAGATTTCAAAAAATGTCAATGAGATTTTCTATTTTATTTTATTTTTTCTCTTGGAAATTGTCATTTGGAAATTATGTTTGACTAATTTTTGAATGATTTGAACTCACTCTATCAGTTGGTGAAGTCAGAATTTAGAAAAATTCAAAAATTGAAATTTTAAGTTATTGGGTACCTACTTTTTTCTAAGGGTCCTTGGATATTTATTTCAAAATGTTCAAAATCCAGTATCTCCGCATTCGTATGAGAAATCAAGACAAAATTTTCAGAAATTATAGGTGTTTTTATTAACAAAAAAGCTTACATTGCTCAGTTTTTCTAGGTTTATTGTTATTGAGAAAAATAAGTTTGAAGTTTGTGACAAAATTCCGACTAAAGTTCAACTTTGGAGCTTGATAGCTCAGGGAGCCCATTGGCTATTGGAATCAATTCAGCACAGATTTAAAGAGAATTTATCGCTTTTTCGAATGATATATAATTTAAGCCAATTTGCTGAAGAATTATTCACGATATGAGGAATTATCAATGACTGTGTCAGGATTTCAAAAAATTTCAAAACCAAAAATGAGATTTTCTATTTGATTTTTTTTCTCTTAGAAATTGTCGTTTGGAAATGATGTTTGACTAATTTTTGAATTATTTGAGCTCGCTCTTTTAGTTGGCAAAGTCAAATTAGTCAAAATTAAGAAAAACTCATAAATTGAAATTTTAAATTATTGGGTGTGTACCTACTTTCAAAATGTTTAAAACCCAATATCCCGACATTCGTATGAGAAATCAAGACAAAATTTTCAAGAACTGTAGGTGTTTTCATCTAGAAAAAAGCTTACATTGCTCAGTTTTCCTAGGTTTATTGTTATTGAGAAAAATGAGTTTAAAGTTTGTGACAAAATTACGACTAAAGTTCAACTTTGGAGCTTGATAGCTCAGGGAACCCATGAGCTATCGGAATTAATTCAGCACAGATTTAGAGAGAATTTATCGCTTTTTCGAATGATAGGTATATAATTTAAACCAACTTGCTCAAGAATGATTTACGAAATAAGTAATTATCAATGACTGTGTTAGGATTTCAAAAAAACCGGTGCGAAGTTAGCAGCCAAAACTTGGCAGCCAATTTGACGGAAACGCCCGAACGACCATTGGCGTAGCATTGTTTTTAAATTCAAAATAAATTCAATAAATCATACTTAGACATCGAGTCTAGCTATGAATTTTATAAATCACTATTTTAACACTTTTTACAACCTCTATGCAAAGTCTCATTGACTCAAACCCTGTCGAAATATGGAAAACTACCTACTCTCAACAAGTAAAAATGCATAAATATTGAGATTTTCCTATTTTTTTTTCCAACTCGGACTTCAAGTCTTGTCATGAAATTAATAGGGTAGTTTTTCAGCACCATCTCCAACCCCCATGCAAAATCTCATTGACTCAAACCCCGTCGAAATATGAAAAACTACCCTTAACAAGTAAAAATTCATAAATATTGACATTTTCGTGATTTTTTCTAACTTGGACTTCGAGTCTTGCCATGAAATTCATAGGATACTATTTCAGCACCATCTCCAACCCCCTTGCAAAAGCCCATTAACCCAAACTCCATCGAAAAATGAAAAACTACCCTTAACAAGTAAAAATACATAAATATTTGGATTTCCGTATTTTTTTCCAACTCAGACTTCAAGTCTTGTCATGAAATTAATAGGGTAGTTTTTCAGCGCCATCTCTAGCCCCCATGCAAAATCCCATTGACTCAAACCTTGTCGAAATATGAAAAACTACCCTTAACAAAAAAAAAAACTTGAAAGGGTAGTTTTCCATATTTCGACGGGGTTTGAGTCAATGGGATTTTGCATGGGGGTTGGAGATAATGTTAAAATAGTACCCTATCAATTTCATGGCAAGACTCGAAGTATGAATTGGAAAAAAATAGGAAAATCTCAATGTTTATGCATTTTTACTTGTTAAGGGTAGTTTTTCATATTTCGACGGGATTTGAGTCAATGGGATTTTACATGGGGGTTGGAGATGGTGCTGATAAAATGCCCTATAAATTTCGTGGCAAGACTCGAAGTCCGAGTTGGAAAAAATACGAAAATCTCAATATTTATGCATTTTTACTTGTTAAGGGTAGTTTTTCATATTTCGACGGGGTTTGAGTTCATGGGATTTTGCATGGGGGTTGGAGATGATGTTACATTAGTACTATATATATCAATTTCATGGCAAGACTCGAAGTCCGAATTGGAAAAAAAAAATACAAAAATTCCAATATTTATGAATTTTTACTTGTTAAGGGTAGTTTTTCATATTTCGACGGGGTTTGAGTTAATGGGATTTTGTATGGGGGTCGGATATGGTGCTGAAAGACTACCCTATTAATTTCATGGCAAGACTCGAAGTCCGAGTTGGAAAAAAATGCGAAAATCTCAATATTTATGCATTTACTTGTTAAGGGTAGAATAAATAATATACAGGGTGTCTCACGACGTTTTTCCCAGGTGATAACTTCGGAACGCGTCATCCAATATAATTGAAATTTTGAGGATCTTAGTAACTTTTTGTGCCGCTTCTACCATTGTCATCCATTTTCACCACTTACTCTCCAATTTCGGTCAAGTGACGTCAACTTTCGAATCTTGTAACTCATGGTATATTATGGCATTTTTCGTTAGAAAATTAAATTACAAAATCGGCAGTGTCATATTTGTTAAGGTTGTTAAAAAAAATTCTAGAAAATTATACAGTTATCATTTGGGAGAAACCTCGTGGGACACCCTGTATACTTCAATTTTTGAAGGTTGATAGCTCAGGAATCCCATGAGCTACTGGAGAAACAAAAGACATTTCACTGTATATTGTTTTTTTTTGGATAGATAACAAATTTGCTACAAATAGGGTTTTTATTGATATGTATTTGCATATGAAACACAACCCTTTCTAAACAAAAGGATATCAAAAAGTGATAAATTTTGTATGTGCATGAGAAAGAAATGGTCTAAACTTTCCTTAAAAATAATATTGGAGAAATGATATATTTTGGGGTCAGAGCGATAAATTTTTATGCCATATAAAACATTACATATTCATATAATTTTTGGCTATAAAACTGAAATAGTGACATGCCAGTCCTTTTCGTATTTTAATTCTTTTATAGACTCTGGCGAACTTATATTGCCTTCAATACGGTTTTGTCAAGAAACTTTGAAACTAATCAGGAAAAGAAGTTCAAAATTTCATGCCTCTTGAATTTTCCTCATAAGTACTTATTTTTATAATATCCAAGAGCCTGGGAATAGATAAAAGTTAATAGGAAAAAAAATGATAAATTAAACGAAAAAAGTTTTCGAGTTTTCATAGGTATTTTGTTTTATTCCAGGCTCTTGAACTTTCCTTATATTTTCAATCCAAAATGAATTTTCTATAGGCTGTAATTTGGAAGAAAAATAAAAATCCAAGAGCCTGGAATAGATAAAAATTGAGCATACATTGAAAATTAATGTAAAAATGTCTAATTGCCAATACAAGTTTCAACATAAAACCACCAGTTATAGCAAAATATCCGAAGAACCTGCCTTAATGGGTAAAATTTTATAACCCTCCCAGACCCAGACATAATATTATTACCAGCAAAGTAATAAACAAACAGAAATTCACACGGTGAATTTTACAATTTAGACCGATCTACCGTGAAATAATCAAACCGCAACTTTAAACAGCTTTCACGGTCGTTGGGGATTTTTCATTTGCATTTATGTAAATTTCCAATTATTTTTTAATTACCGGAACAAATCTAGTAATACTTACCAATAAAATTGGCTTGTTTAATTTATCATCGACCCATCCTAATACAATGTCAGCACCTTCCATACCTCCATTAGGACTAAAACCTAATCCAACATAACCCAAAGTCCTGGCCTCAACTCTGAATAATATCTCTTGATGTCTAGGTTGCCATTTCAAAGTGATTAATTCGTTTTTGTCTAATGCCATTGAATGAGTCCAAAGTATATCGGACGAAACATCTCGTTTTGTTCGATTGTTGGGTTCTTCGAACCCGTTGACTAGTTGGACATGTTTGACGTATTGGTCCAGAAGATCTTCTGATGCCTTGAGGATGGTCGGGACGGTCAAAACTTGTAGAATGAGGTAGAATAAGTGGAGAGTAGACATTGCGTTTTTTTGTTGAGGCTAAAGATACATTATCTGTAATTAAAAAAAAAAAATCATGATGAATTTTAATTATTGTTTTTAAAAACAACATGGATTTTTATACAGGGTATTTTCTTATAAGAGTGAGAGTCAAATTTGATAAATCGACGTCTAATTAGATTGTGAAAAAAATGATTTCTGTCATATGTTATTATTTCAAGGATTAGAGACGATTTAATGTCTTCACTCTTCACATTTGTGTTATTTTCATTGATAAATATTCATCCCTCTTTTGACATATGTCAATGGCAAATTTGATAGCTTGATGTCCAATGTGTTTGTTATAGTTATTTATGTATCAAGGGAATTATGAGGGTGTTAATACCCCAGGGCAAAGTTTGCCCGTGGGTATTAACACCTGATAATTCCCGTGGTACATAGATAATTTTATTTCCTACTGAATTTACTGTCTTTTGTCCATTTTTATAAAGAAATAAACCATAAACCAAAATTTCTATTTTTTGTCAAAGTTTCACCTCACCTATTCAAGGTAAAAGCAGGAGTCATGGAAATCCTTAACTCCTTTGGGAGTTATGATATCCTTAACTCCCGCGCGGGAGTTATGAAAATCCTTAACTCCCTTGGGAGTTAAGACCCTGTTTATGATTATCGTAACCAAGGTATTATATGGTTATAATAGTTCAGTAGGAAATAATAGTTATTTATGTATCAAGGGAATTATGCAGGTGTTAATACCCCAGGGCAACGAGGGACACCAATTGCCCGTGGGTCTTAACTCCTGATAATTCCCGTGGTACATAGATAATTTTATATCCTACTGAATTTACTGTATTCTGTCTATTTTTATAAAGGAATAAGCCATAAATCAAAATTTCTATTTTTTGTCAAAGTGTTACCTATTCAAGGTAAAAGCGGGAGTTATGGAAATCCTTAACTCCCTTGGGAGTTATGATATCCTTAACTCCCTTCCTTAACTCCCTTGGGAGTTATGAAAATCCTTAACTCCCTTGGGAGTTAAGACCCTGTTTATGATTATCGTAACCAAGGTATTATATGGTTATAATAGTTCAGTAGGAAATAAAAAAATTAATTTCTGCCGAATGTGATTATTTTATGGAATAAAGACGATTTGATGTCCATTAAGCTTCACATTTGCGTCATTTTAATGATATATTTATTCGTCTCTCTTAAATTGGGCAAATTTTCAGAAATGACAATGTCAAATTTAATAGATTGACGTCCAATGAGTTTGTAAGCAAAATAGTTTCTGTCAAATGTGATTATTTTGTGAATTAGAAAGGATTTAATGTCCATTGAGCTTCACATTTGTGCAATTTCATTGATAAGAATTTGTCCCTCCTAAATTAGGCAAATTTTGACAAATGTTAATGTCAAATTTGATAGGTTGACGTCCAATGAATTTAAAAAAAAATGTATTTCCATCAAATGTTGTTATTATATGGATTAGAAACGATTTCATTTCCATTGAGCTTCAAATGTGTGTCATTTTCATTGACAAAAACTCGTTCCTCTTAAATTAGGCAATTTTTGACAAATGTCAATGTTACATTTGATAGATTGTCATCTGTCAAAAAAGAAAATTCAATGTAGCGTGGCGGCCAAGCAAGTTTGTTTGGAATATGTTTATATGCGTATTTTAAATTATTTAGCATACAGTTTTGCTTACAACTTTGATTTTTATTATTTAATAAAATATTTGTTGACTAGGTACCTAAACTATTAATTCGGACAGAAACTAGATATTTTTTTTGTGTTTTTTGACCCATGTGTGGCCGCCACGCCATCTTGAATGTCACGTGGTTTGAATTGCCTAATTATTATCAAATGTTGTTATTTTGTGGATTAGAGAAGATTTCATGTCCATTGAGCTTCAAGTTTGTGTCATTTTCATGAATAAAAATTCGTCCCTCCTAAATTGCGCAAATTCTGACAAATGTCAATGTCAAATTTGATAGATCAAGGTCTAATGAGCTTGTCAAAAAATTAACTTTTGTCAAATGTTATTATTTTAAGGATAAGAGATGATTTAATGTCCATTGAGCTTCAAATTTGTATAATTTTCTTTGATTAAAATTCGTCCCTCCTGAATTGGGGAATTTTTGACAAATTTCAAGGTTAAATTTGGTAGATTGACGTCCAATGAGTTTGTAAAAAAATTGATCTCTGTCAAATGTGATTATTTTGTGGATTAGAGACGATTTAATGTCCAATAAAACTTGACATTTGTGTCATTTTCATTGATAAAAATTCGTCCCTTTCGAATTAGGCAATTTTTGACAAATGTCAATATCAAATTTCGTAGCTCGACGTCCAATGAGTTTGTAAAAAAAATAATTTCCATCAAATGTTGTTATTTTGTGGATTAGAGACGATATCATTTCCATTGAGCTTCAAATTTGTGTCGTTTTCATTAATTAAAATTCATCCCCCTTGAATTGGACAATTTACGACAAATGTCAATGTCAAAATTGACAAATAGACGTCCAATTAGTTTGAAAAAAATTAATATCCATCAAATGTTGTTATTTTGTGGATTAGAGACGATTTCATTTCCATTGAGCTTCAAATCTGTGTCATTTTCATTGATAAAAATTCTTCCCTCTTAAATTGGGCAATTTTTGACAAATGTCAATGTCAAATTTGATAGATCGATGTACAATGAGATTGTTAAAAAAATGGATTTGTGTCAAATGTTATTATTTTGAGGATTAGAGACGATTCATTGTCCATTGAGTTTCAAATTAATTTCATTTCCACTGATAAAAATTATTCCCACTCAAATTGGGCAATTTTTGACAAAAGTCAATGTCAAATTTGATAGGTCGATGTCTAATGAGTTTGTAGAAAAATTGATTTCTATAAAATGTTATTATTTTAGGTATTAGAAACGATTTAATGTTCATTGACCTTCAAACTTGTGTCATTTTCATTGAGTAAAATTTGTCCTGCTTAAATTGGGCAATTTTTGATAAATGTCCATGTCAAATTTGATAGATTGACGTCCAATGAGTTTGTAAAAAAATTAATTTCTCTCAAATGTGATTATTTTATGGATTAGAAACGATTTGATTTCCATTAAGCTCACATTAATTTGTCTGATTTCCATTGATTGAAATTCGTCCCTCTCAAATTGGGCAATTTTTGACAAATGTCGATGTCAATTTTGACAGCTAGACGTCCAATGAGTTTGTAAAAAAAAAATAATTTTCATCAAATGTTGTGGTTTTGTAGATTAGAAACAATTTCGTCTTGAATTGAGCTTCACATTTGTATCATTTTCATTGATAAAAATTCGTCCCTGTTAAATTGGGCCATTTTTGGAAAATTTCAATGTCAAATTTGACAGATAGACGTCCAATGAGTTTGTTAAAAAATTAATTTCCATCAAATGTTGTTATTTTGTGGATTAGAGATAATTTCATTTCCATTGAGTTTCAAATTTGTATCATTTTCATTGATTAAAATTTGCCCCTCTCGAATTGGGCAAATTTTGACAAATGTCAATGTCAAATTTGATACGTTGACGTTCAATGAGTTTGTAAAAAAAATTAATATCTGTCAAATGTGATTATTTTATGGATTAGAGATGATTTAATGTCCATTAAGCTCCACATTTATGTCATTTTCATAGATAAAAATTCCTCCCTCCAAAATTGGGCAAAATTTGACAAAAGTTTGATAGATTGACGTCCAATGAGTTTATAAAAAAATTAATTTTTGTCAAATGTGAATATTTTGTGGATTAGAGACGATTTCATTTCCATCAAGCTTCACATTATTTGTGCAATTTCATTTATAAAAATTTGTCCCTCCTAAATTAGGCAATTTTTGATAAATGTCAATGTTGAGTTTGACAAATAGACGTCCAATGAGTTTGTAAAAAAATTAATTTCCATCAAATGTTGTTATTTCCATTGAGCTTCAAATTTGTGTCGTTCTCATTGATTAAAATTCGTCCCTTTTGAATTGGGCAATTTTTGACAAATGTATATATCAAATTTAACAGATAGACGTCCAATGAGTTTGTAAAAAAATCAATATCCATCAAATGTTGTTACTTTGTGATTTAGAGACGATTTCATTTCCACTGAGCTTCAAATTTGTGTCATTTTCATTGATTAAAATTCGTTTCTCTTGAATTGGGCAATTTTTGACAAATTTCAATGTCAAATTTGATAGATTGACGTCCAATGAGTTTGTATAAAAATTAATTTCTGTCAAATGTTGTTATGTATTTTGTAGATTAGAGACGATTTAATGTCCATTAAGCTTCAAATTTGTCTCATTTTCAATGATTAAAATTCGTCCCTCTTGAATTGGGCAATTTTTGACAAATTCCAATGTTAAATTTGACAGATAGACATATTGTAGCGGAAATATGATAAGTTTAAAATTAAAGGTTCGAATACCATAACGAGCATGGTGCCATGCCTATTCTGGTCAGAATATTCATAAACCATTTCCTGGTTAAAACGAGGAAGCTCTAATTATGGGTTGTATAACTTCGGTTTTTAATTTATTTAATAGTTGTTTTTTGTTTTATTTATGTTGGGGAGAAGAAGAACCTCGATATAGTTATTGATGAAGAATCATTTCTAAACAGAAAAATTTCAATTACTTATTGGCTTTTTTCCTGTAACGGTTTTTACCTCTTCATCAAGTATTCATTACACCAAAGACAATGATGAGTCATAGACCCTGATCAGCATAATGTAATGCAGAATACCTGTCTGTGTTTTTAAAACAATACTTTTTTTCAGGTGCAACGTACTCCCCCCATCGGCGCGAAAATGCACCAAGCATGAGAAAGACATTGTTAAAATTATGGCTTCGTTAGGTTCTGAAACTTGAAGCTAATTACAATCATGAAAGGAAGTAATTATCCGTTACCATTTAAAGCATTCATCAATTATTGTTTTTTGATAAATAAACCACAAAGTTGCTACAGGCCAAGAAGAAGTTACTTTTTAATGGGTACTATCATTAGCCTATAAATTAACTATTTTTTGTTT